TTGATATTGAATTATAAAAAAAACCATAGTATTTATGACCCCATAAACTAGAGAGTATGATTGGAGTTCAAATTTTATAAAGAACTCCTAAAATAATTTTTGTGTATTTTTAGCTAAATTTTAACTAAAAAATAGGGACCATGATTGTAGATGCTCTTAGACTACAAAAAGGAGCTAACCACCTCCGAGCAAAAGGACCATCGACTGCTACTCTCCACTTCTCCAAGAGCTATCCAAAGCTCTCCCAAGCTCTCTATTTCTCTTATGCTAGAGCTCTCAAGCATCTCTCCCTATATATAAATATATATATATCTCTCTCATATTAATGTAATCTTCACATTCAAATACAATAAAGCTATAAACTATAGTGGATGTAGCCCCATTATGGGTGAACCACTCAAACACTTGTGTTATGTGTGTGATAATGCATTAATCCATTATGTACAAATTCGCCCGTTAACAAAGGTGAAGCATGGCCCAATCTCCATTATCATTGGGAAAAGACTCCTTTCGCGGAAACATGAACTGCTAATTTCATGCTAATCATAGTGTGACATGTGTGTAGAGACTTCTTTCGGAGTGTTTTTGTTAAATTAGTTTTAAATGTGTAAAACTGTAATTCATAGGCAATAAGAATGCCTTATTCTAAGGAATGAGGGAAGCAGTGTCCTTATCATTGTATCAACTTTTTTCTTCTGCGCGTGTGTGTGTGTTTTAAAAATATATATATATATATATGTATGTATATAGCTCAATTTTTAATTGAGTTCTGTCATTAGGTCTGTCATTTTCCTTTGTGGGTCATGCTAGGATTTTGAAAGACTTCTTTTAAGTGACAGATTTCATGGATTTATATAGATTTCTATACGGTGTGTTCAGATAAGAGAAATAAACATGAGATTTTGACAAAAGTCATAATTTTTAAATTGAAATGAACCAATTTATGTGTTTGAATAAAAAAAAGTATAAATTTAGAAATTCCGCGTGAAAAAAACTTGAAATTTGGAGGTGATAAATCCAAACTTTAAATTCTATCCAAATCATCGTTATTTATAAAATTTCAAGAGATTGAGTTTTAAAAAAAGATAACTTTACAAATAAATGTTAAATTATGTGTTTAAGTACTCTACGCAAACTAGAAATTTTAGAATATTAATTTTTGTTATTTTAAATTCTATCATTTATAAATTTTATCATCTAAACGCACTGCTAAGAATTCCACATCAACTTTGAAAGACATCTATTATAGACAATCTTGTATTTGTATAGACTTTTGTTCCAGACATTGGATTATTTTTATGGACTTGTTTAATTTCTTCAACATATTTATTTGTTGTTGGTATGTCATGGTAGAAATGCGTTCATTCTTTTGTTCTTGTTAAGCTGCTATATTTAAAAATAAAAATAAAAAAGACAAACGAAAGAGAAATATTCTTGTTAAATCATTAGAGAAACTGGGTGTTTGTGCCTCCTTTTTACGTAATTAATATTAGAGTCATATTGGACCAAGTCATAGCTTTGGCTTTAGTATTTATTGAATATTAAGTATCTGAGCCAGTCAAATGACTAATATAAAGAAATTATTATTTAATTGATAATTACCTAAATCAAGTGGATATTCTCGGTTTGGCGGTGAAGACAATCAATTAGATATTTGGTTTTAATTGATTGGTGATCCGATTCTGACCATGATCTAATCAAGAGATTACTTCTTTTATATCGGGTATGCTTTACGGCCAAAGGCACACAACTTTTCAACAACAAACTCTACATAAAAATTCTAGCTATTTCATAAAAGACTGGTTTATTTGTTTTATTACTATGCCAAGCCATTTTGGTATTGACTGTCAGTCAACTTAGTATTTTACCATTTTACCCCTATTATATTAATTTGTAATCCTTTAGCACTTGGTTAATCAAGTGTATATATTTTTTTATTTTTTGAATGTTTTACAATTCTCTACGTTTTGCTTTATATATTTAAATTAAAAGTAAGTGGGTTGGTTTAATGGTTATGTTAAAGAAGACCCAAGTAATTCGGGAGAAAAACTTCCCTCGCATAGGGATGCTAGAGTAAGCAATCTAGCTAAACATCCCTATCTAATGACCACTCGACAGCTGTCACCCACAAATATTTTAAAAATAATAATTTGTTGCCTTTGCGAACCCAGCAACTGAAACCCCTTTTCGCTCTCATATCTCCCTCTTTTTCTCTCTCTTTTTGCATTGCCCTTCCTTTCTCCGCTCCGCGCCACATCCGTCAGCGTCGCCATCCTCCATCCTTTTTGTCCCCATCCCCTCCTCCATTGTTGGTTTTGTCTATCTCTTCTCATCTCTATCTCATCTCTCCCTCTCGTTCTTTCTCTTCATGCCAACAACAGTGGCATCGGTAGTGGCGGCGAGCTTGCCAAACTCCAAACTTGAGGTGATTGACATCAAATTTTGAGGCCAATCTATCCCTCTCTTTCTATCTCTTCTTGGCAATCTCAGATGTGGCTGATGCAAAGTGAGAGACAGATAGGGAGAGCGGAGAGTAAGTTAAAATAGAGAGATATAGGGGGTTTGGGTTGCACTTCGAGAAAGGAGGGGTGATGCAAAAAGAGAGAAAAAGAGGGAGATATGAGAGAGAAAAGGGGTTTCAGTTGCTGGGTTCACATAGGATGAGGAGCATAGGCAACTAATTTTTCTTTTTCAATTTTAATGGGTGACAGCTGTCGAGAGATCATTAGACATGGATACTTAGTTGGATTGCTTATCCTGGCATCCCCATGCGAGGGAAGTTTTTCTCGCTAATTACTTGGGTCTTCTTTAACATAACCATTAAACCAACCCACTTACTTTTAATTTAAATACATAAAGCAAAAGGCAGAGGATTGTAAAACATTCAAAAAATTAAAAAAAATATATACCCTTGATTAACCAAGTGCTAAAGGACTACAAATTAATATAATAAGGGTAAAATGGTAAAATATTAAGTTGACTGACAGTCAATGCCAAAAAGGCTTGGCATAGTAATAAAACAAATAAACTGGTCTTTTATGAAAGAGCTAGAATTTTTGTGTAGAGTATGCTGTTGAAAAGTTGTGTGCCTTTGGCTGTGATGCATCTCTTTCTTTTACATAAGTGTAACCCTGTACAAAAGAAGTAATCTCAAGTTATGTTGGTCTTCAATTCTTCATGTGTTAATGCAAACTGCAGCCGCATTTCTATATTGAACCTATTTTGATGTAGGTTTTGTTCTTTTAAAGTAAAATTAAATGTTTTGAAGAGCCAAAGTCAACTTTTTAGTTTTGAAGAGAGATAAATAGTTGCATCTTTTGTACTGAGTTTAACAAGCTTGTTGGAGAGAGTTTTGATGATGTTGCTCACCTATTTTAGCTTTCCAAAATGATTGAATATGCTGTTGAAGATGCCCAAGTCACTGGGTGTACGTTGAATTCTAGATCTAAACCAAATCTGCATAATTATTACATATTCAAGAAATTTTCACAAGTTTCCATGATTTATTAGTTTTTTTTAATAGTATTTTACCATTCTCGTATTAAATAAGTAAATGCATTGTGGTGTGAATGAAGAGTTTTATTTATTTATGAGCAAGTATTAAAGTAAGTTAGTGGGTTTAATGGTTATGTTAAAGGTGGTCTTTTTTTTTCTTTTTTTTTCAGGTGTTAAATAAGGTCTTTAAAGGCTTGCATGTATGCTATTGTTGGAGTTAATTGAATAGAAGTGAAGTGAATTAGGAAATTAGGAAATTAGGAAATCTAAGCTTTAAAAGAAAATTAAGGTGGGTTAGTAGAATTAAGATAAGTCTAGATTTGATTCATTCCGATATAATCAACACAAAAAAAAAAAAAAAAAAAAAAAAACTAAAAACTTTCATTATCAAGCCCAAATGAACAAGCATACAAAATGAAAGCCCAAATGTAAAACTTTCCCATAAAAAAAAAAGGTGCTCAACTGGGCTTGCATAATTTTGGGTAGATGCTCTTCTATTGATTTTGTACATGCACGTCCTTTTTTTTTTTTTAATTTCAGAAAAATAAAAATTGCGCAAAGATTACTGCGGTTTATATTGTGCCAACAAAAACCCTGAAATATCAAGGATGCTTGTTCATCGATGTGTTCAAACAAGATCTGTCTGCTTTAGATGCTTTTTATACCCAACTTGTCTTTTTGTAGGCATTCTAGTGAGTGTGTGTGTGTGGTTTACATCTCCAACACTTGTGTGGACTTACTCATACACTGAGGTTTGGATGTGACCCTACACAAAGTTCCAAGTGATGGCATGTATGTTTTTGTAAATATCCCCATATGCATCTTGGTTGTAGATTCATTTCATGCATAAAGGCGACAACCCGATTAATTAACCTTGTTTAGGTTTAATCAAATCATCTCCCCACTGCTGACCTCAGTTCTAGTCGGCCGTGCCCCCTTCCTCCAACTCTAGCATTTCACGTAAAATTTATATGAAATTTCTTTAATTATTGGAAAAATAGAAGATTTATATTGTTGTAATTTATGTTCGAGTCACATGACCACGAACTATCATGTCCTGTCTTAACTAGAGTGGACTATATTTTATTTTATCGTACTGAACTCTGTTCTACTGTATGGAAGCACAAATCTTAATTACACAAGGCTTAAATCATGTTGGAGAGCCATAAAAACTCTACACTAGTTTAATCTAGAACATAACTTTTCTTTTGGTTTGTTTTAAGTTATTTATGTGTAAAGTGTCGAATTGTGATAACTTAAAAACAAAGGTTGTAACAGGGCTACACTTGCAACAGTTGCATTGAATTTTCTGTTGTTATGCTGTGTTGTTGAAGGTTTTGAAGCCTCTTAATTGAACCTGTTGAAAGGTTACATGTGTCAATTTGAGTGCTATTGTGCAATTTGTTGAAGCTATACAGATGTAGGCTCCAACATTATCAACATCACAAAGTACACAGACGTGGGCAGTCTAATTGCCCATCAAATTACTCACACACCATATCCACATCTCTTATGATTGAATGTTAGAACTACAAGCTCTCTCACACACACCTCCACCACTCTCCCTCCTTAAAAAAGGACTGTGAGCAACAAAGATAAGCTTCTCAACGAAATCAATTTAAACCCAAGAAAGAAAGAAAAAAAAAAACCAAAGCCATGGCTCAAACAATGTTGCTCATGTCTAGCAGTGTGTCTTCAAGACATGCGGTGGATTTGAAGTCCTCAGACCCTTTACTTCAATTACAAGTGCAAAGACTTAGGCCCAAGTCTTTCTCTCAACTTGTGTTCAGACCACTTCCTTCATCCTCTTCTTTTGCCTCCTCATCATCTCCTGCCATTCCTACCGTGGTCGCGCTCTTCAAGTCAAAAACCAAAGCCCCTGTCAAGAAGGTTTTCATTTTTTTTATAAATAAATATTTCTCGTAGTGCTTTGTTTTTGTTTGTAACCAAGACATAACGTTCTTATCTACATTTGTTTGATTTGGTTTCGTTTTTTGTTTTTACTAAATTGAGCAGGCATCACCGCCGAAGCCGAAGGTTGAAGATGGTATCTTTGGAACCTCTGGAGGCATTGGTTTCACAAAGCAGAATGAGCTCTTCGTGGGTCGGGTTGCCATGATTGGCTTTGCTGTGAGAAAATCTTCTTCTTATTGCTGTCTTTGTTCTGTTTCTAGTCTTCTTTAATTTTATTGCTAATATAAAGTTGGGACAATTTCTGCACAATTTTTTTTTAAGGCCGGTTTTGGTTCAAAATCTCCAACTCTCAGGTTTGAGATGTTTTGTTCAATCTTTAATTTTAAATGAGCTAAAATTTCAAAACTGATTGAGCTGTGGGCTCTAAAAATACTTAAATATTGTTTTCGGAATGTGGGCTGTACTTAAATAAATTTACTTTCAAAAATTGCATTTTTCTGCTCAAAATTTATCACATTAAAACACTAATTACATTATTATGAAAAAACAGAGTAGTACATATATAACCATACAATCAAAAATTCATTGAATTAAAAAAAACTCTCACTTTATCAACCTATCTCCTTTCTAAAGAATTGGGCAAGACATTAAGCAGTATTTCATTATTGAATTCTTCCCAATATAGCTTGTTTTGCTTTAGAATCAGTACTAAATCTATTAAACCCACACAAAATTAAATTGAAAAGTGAGCAAACACAAACCAAGCCACCTCTACTAGTTTTTATAGCTTTTTAGTTTTCACCAATATCTCAACATACTTCCCAAGCAATATCAATAACCTTACAAAGTTAATGCTATTTTATTTAAAAAAAAAATTTCATAAAAACTTTTGTTCCTAATACTAACCTTGAATAAGAGTTCATGGCCCAAAAAAAAAAAAAAAAAAAAAAAAACTATTTTCAGACTTTCAGTAAATAGTATAGATACATTATATATATAGAAAACACTCATAGAATGAGCATGAGATTTAAAAACTTTGTTCAACGTTCTTTGAGTGAAACATATTCACAACAATTTGCCAGGCAGATGCATAATTGTCATGAATGGCCGAAAGCTTAAGATAAGGTCCAAATAAAAATAAAGTGATTTCACATCATAAATATGCCATTCAAATAACATATACATACAAAATAATGGGCTAGTCATGTGTGATAAGAATAAGAAGAAGCTTGAAATTTTACTTTCTTTTTTTCTTCTTTTGTTATGAGCCTTTATTTGCAAACATTGCAGGCATCATTGTTGGGAGAAGCAGTTACAGGGAAAGGAATTCTTGCACAACTGAATCTGGAAACTGGAGTTCCGATCTATGAAGCCGAACCTCTCCTTCTCTTCTTCATCCTTTTTACCCTGCTTGGAGCCATTGGAGCCCTAGGTGACCGTGGTAGCTTCGTTGATGACCCGCCCACTGGAATTGAAGGGGCAGTCATCCGTCCAGGCAAAGGATTTAGATCAGCCTTAGGTCTCAAGGAAGGAGGTAACCACTTTGCAACTCTACATTAATGTTCAAATTAGACTAATGGCCTTTGTGACGTGTTATGTTGTCAAAATGTGAAGTTTGAATACAAGTACATATAAAACTCTAATCATTGACTCATATTGACATTTTTAGAACATAACACGTCTGACGAGAATATCTTACTAATGAATTTTTTGTTGTCTTATATGTATAGGTCCTCTGTTTGGATTCACAAAGGCAAATGAGCTATTTGTAGGAAGATTGGCACAATTGGGATTTGCATTCTCTCTAATAGGAGAAATCATCACAGGGAAGGGAGCTCTAGCACAGTTAAACATTGAGACTGGGGTCCCCATTAATGAAATTGAACCCCTTGTGTTGCTCAATGTTGTCTTCTTCTTCATTGCTGCTTTGAATCCTGGGACTGGTAAATTTGTCACAGATGAGGGTGAGGAAGAATAGAGGCTTGTGAAGCTCATAAAAAACAACTTATTTCAATCATGTATGAGATAATACTCTCTCTTCCTTCTCTAATTTTCATGTCATGAATTTTTTATTTATTTAGTTTATAGCTTTTCACAAATAGACATATTCTAACATGACATTTTATTATATGAAAAATCCTTCAAGTCCAACATACTAAGAATTAATTAGAAAATAACAACTGCTAGTCGATGATTTATTCACCAAATAGTCGCTCTAAGAGTTTTTATATAAAATGTCATGTTAGAAAGAGCCTATTTGTGAAACACACTTTTTCCCTGTCACATGGGACTTACAATGACTACCAAAAGAAAAGAAAAAAGAAAAAAGAAAAAAAAGAAGAAGAGAAATTTGAAGCAAACTCAATCTTATGTTCCCAAAAAAAAAAATAAAAATAAAAAATTGTGACAGTGGCAATCGCAACATATATTTGCCGTGCGATTGCCTGCATATACACGGATGTTCATTGCAATTGTTCACATCATATAGTTGTGTATATTTTAGATATAGTAAACCCTCATAAAATTAGCATTCTTTCTTTCTTTATTTTCATTTTTATTATTTTGATTCAGATATGTCATGTTCTTTGAGTGACTGTACACCCACAAACACATATTCATAAGAATTTTGCATATTCATCTACCCTTGCCTTTTGTTAATTTGTGCCATATTATTATTTTTATTTATTAAGTTGAAGTTTCTTATCACTTTCTCATTTATGTGGACGCATAATCTCTATTATTATAAAGTTATGCCTTGGCCTTAGCCTAGTGTCACACACTTTCTCTTTATGATGTGTGAGCATGAAAAAAATCATATACCGACACAAAATAAATTAAAAAATTGTGATTAAGATAAAAAATGCATGTGAAGATGCTAGTAATTTTTAATTGTTTATGACTTTTATTTTATCGTTCGTTTGGTAAATTGGATTATGTAGTTGGATAGGATTCATATAGTCAAATATTTGGTGGTTTAAAAACAACATATATTGGATTATGTCTTATCCTACTAAGCCATGTAATAGCACATTTCAATTAATCTAACCTCATAATCATGTGTGGTACCAAACATATCATTGTATTAGTGTTATTATTTTTTTGGTTACAAAAAAGGTGGCATGAGTGTCACCTCTCCGGGCGGGCACGGATTAAGGAAAAGCTCTCCCCAAGAGGTTCGTTACACATGCGGAGGATCGAACTCGGGACCTCATTGAGGAGCCCAATCACATTTGTCCAACATGTGTGGCCTAATTAGTGTATCATTTTCAATTAAATACAATCCAATGCAATCTAATTTTACCTCATAATTCAATCCAATCTCGGTCACCAAACACGACCTACAAGAAAATGAGATCATTACACTAGCTAATTTTAATTTATTTATATGTTTATATTTACACTGAAATGATAACTCATAACTTGATCTACTCTTTGATTCTTTTCTCTTTATTGAGGTAGTCCAATGGCAATGAATTTTGGGATTTAAAAAAAGTTGGAAAAAGCCAAATTCATTATCAAAGCAATTGGTTATCATAGTCATGGAGCCTTTACAAAAAGGGATGACAGCCAAACAAACGCAAAAATTCCCCGTCCAAGACTTAAAATAAGGACAAGCATAACGTAAATTACACAAATCTATTTGACATTTCAATTTAATTAATGTCGTTTCTCATGATCTTCTGGCAAAAATCCACTGTTCATATTCCTTAGTGACTAGATTATCCTAGATTTTAAAATAAATAAATAAATAATACTTAATAAAAAAGAAGCTCCTTGTTGCCGTTGAGCTCCACGTCAGCACAAATAAAAATTATTCATGGAGAGAGAGAATAGCAAACAGAGTCTATTTACTCTGTAGTTGATTCCTCTCAGCTTTCTTCTCTCCTCTTCCTCTTCCTCTTCGTCTTCGTCTTCGTCTTCTCTGCGACATAATTTTAGTCTTCAAAACTGCGTCGTATTGGATTCAATCCGAGCTTAAACTGCCACTAGTGGCGGTTAATTAAACTCACCCGAATCAGCCGGGGCACGTTCGTCACCAATTACTTCTTGTCCACCTCCGTCGCTCTCTGTTCCCGCAACTGTAATTTCCAAACAAAAAAGGTCCAATTTTCAGAAAAGTCACCGTCACCGTCACCATCGTAGCCGTTGATTTCAGCGTCTAGGATGGAGAAATCGAATGGATTGAGAGGCAGTTACCTGAATGGAGCTTACCATCCTTCCCTATCTTCTTCTTCTCGCGCAGATGTCAATTACAGGTTCAATCTCTCTCTCTCTCTGAAATCAGACTTGCTTATATAAAAATGGGGTTTTTCTGTTTTTGTAATTAATTTGTTTACATGAAGATAAAGATTGAATCTTTGATATCTGGGTGTGGATTTAATTGTCATTAATTTTTACTTGATAATAAGAGAATGAGAAAAATGAAAGAATCTGTAGGATGTATTTGTGCTTGATGAGTGTTTGGGCCCAGAAACCCTTTTTTAGGATTAATTGATTAAGCAAATGAGAAAATCTTTTGAGATCTATGAAAAGGGTCATCATCAAAATTCCCGAAAATGGTATTGATTGGAAGAAAAGGGTAAATCTAAATTGACTTTCTTTCTTGCTGTTGTTGACAAATAAATTACAGTTCCTTGAGACTGCATCTTGTAGGAAAGATCATCAGTTTCAGTACTTGAAGTTTTGTTATAGTGGTAGAGCACTATGCCACTAGCCTCAGCCTACTTCAAGCCAAGACAGAGTTCTAAGACCTTGTTGTTCATGATCAAATTGAATAACTCAGAAATGCTGAGAGTAGCAAAAATTTTGTTTTAAATGTTACAGGAATATAGATGTTTTAAACTAGCTTCTACTATCTGAGCTCTATGGGTCATTTTCAATTTAGTTGGCTTCATTTTGGATGGTTTTATAGAGCATGTTGCATAAATGGTTTTTTTCATGCAGCTGTGGATCTTGTGGCTATGAGCTAAACCTAAGCTCCAACAACCGGAACACTTCTACCATTGGCTCTAACAAGTATGGGAAATCTATAAAGCGAGGGATTATATCATTCTTTCACATCGATGACAGCAGATTTACGCAGGTTGATGAACTTCAATGTAAACCCCATTTCTCTAAGCGGTCTTGGGGTTTGTTCAGCCGGAGAACTAAACTGCTTTGTCGCAAGTGTGGTAAACATATAGGAAATGCTTATGATGATTATACTTCATCTTCTTTCCCACTAGTATTAGATGGATCGGATTCATCCTCAGGCCGTGAACTTTCGAAATGCAGAAAATATGATGTTAGAATTCGATCTTTGCAGCCTTCAAATTCTGAAGAATGCGACACTCCGATTTTCGGTTGACATATCTGAGCAGGCCTAGTTTGTATTTTCCTTCATGCTAAAGAAGCACCTGCAGCAACAGCCGCTGAACATTTGCTTCTGCAACACTCCTATGTATGAGGTTGTTCTCTGTATTGATTGGATTGCAGTTTTGTGTTTTACTATATTTATTTAGAAAATTACTTGTATATACAAAAGTTTGTTCAGCATTGGAGGAATTATGGTGTGGAATTTTTGAAGTGCTTTGAATGATTAAGCGAAGTTTGTTAGAAGATATCATTGCTGGCCCCTTAATATGTCAGATTTTATCTCATTTCCGAACTATTACCATAATCTTGTTCATGTCTTTGGCAATTAAACACACATGGGAAGAGCTTGAGTTGATCTTCTTTTCTGTTTTGGGTGTAAAATGTACCAATGAGAAGAGTAGGTTGGTGAGGTGCCAAACTTGGTGGATTTACAGATTTAACAACCACTGTGAGAGTCTGGAATTACTCGATCATACATAAGAGTTTGCTGAATAAATAAAAAATATTACACATTTTAATGTGTACAAATCAACCAAAAAAATACAAACCGACCAAAGATGCAGTGATTCTTGCGCAGAGGCTGCCGCATATAACAAACTCTCACATGAGGCCCAAATGCAGGGAGTACCCCTTGAGTCGCCATTGTATGCGGCGGTCCCTACACCACAACTTCTTTCATACATATATACTCTTGATTTCACATTTTACAGTTTCATCTTGTAGACATGATTTAACATTTGAAATCCAGATTAAATTCTGCTTTTCTAGGTTGGACAATGCAAACCCACGCATAAAATGCTGAAATATGTCCTTTGGCATTTGCCTTTCTGCAAATACAACCGAAAATTCCACCTTCCTTGCACCATATAAAAACAAACATACTCTTGGATGTCCTTAATTCTCATCTGCAACATCACATCTTTTTGGTATTTTATTTTTCTCCACCATGGAGTCTCCCAGAATTACTATCAAAGTTATCATTTCTCTATTTTGCTCTTATATGCTTTTGTCACATTATATCACCACTTTGACCCCTGCCTTGGCTTTGGAAGACTGTCACTTTCCAGCAATCTTTAACTTTGGAGACTCAAATTCAGATACTGGTGGAATGGCTGCGGCCATTTATCGACCACCACCACCTTTTGGGAAAACCCATTTTCATACGCCGGCGGGAAGATTCTCAGATGGCAGGCTCATAATCGATTTTCTTGGTATGTGTATTTTTCTTTTTATTTAAGGAAAATGTATATCATCTTTGTTCTTCTGTGTATGTTTGGCTCTCATTCTCTGTAAACAACCATTCCTACTTACATGCGATTGCGAATCACAATTTGCGATATGATCTTTACACATGTTTGTCAAATGTCATGACTTGACGATCGACCTAAATCGATCAAATTTTTTGGCCCAAGTACTTAAAACTCTCTATATCCATGACCAAACTTTTTAAAAATTTAAAGGGAAAAATCAGACTTCAAATCATCCCAATTATTTCCCACATTGGTTGCAAACTTGCAACATGCTTCTTTTTCTTTTTTCCTCTTTAAATTGTTGTCTGATAAAACTTGTGGTTTAGCCAAGAGTCTTGGTCACCCCTTTCTAAGCGCATATCTGGATTCAATTGGGACCAACTTCTCGCATGGTGCAAATTTTGCCACTGCATCTTCCACCATCAGATTGCCAGAGCCCATTATACCAGCTCCTGGTGGATTTAGTCCCTTCACCCTCAATATCCAATGCTCGCAGTTCTTGCAGCTAAAATCCAGATCACAACTCATAAGGCATCGAGGTAAAACAGAAACTAAAGCTCTATAATTATATAAGTATTAAGGTGACAAAACTTTGTGACTGGAGCTTTGTTCAATATGTATGTAGGGGGAATATTTGCAAGTTTGATGCCCAGGAAGAAGTATTTTGCCAAAGCCTTATACACATTTGACATTGGCCAGAATGACCTTCCAGAAGGGTTTTTTGGTAATTTGACTGTTCAAGAAGTCAATGCATCTGTTCCTGATATAGTCAGTACGTTCTCAGCAAATATTAAGGTAATTAATCTTCCAGTGAAAAAATATTGAATTAATATAACATGTTAGATTATCTAATAACAAAATATTTTACATTTTTCAGCTCGCTCTTTTTTTTCACTTTACTTAATTATAATCTTAATGTTTGTGATGTAGAAAATATATGATTCGGGAGGGAGATCATTTTGGATCCACAACACTGGGCCAATTGGGTGTATCCCTTACATCTTAGTTAATTTTCCAGCTCAAAAGGATGAGGTTGGCTGTGCAAAGTTATACAATGAAGTAGCTCAGTATTTTAACCACAAGCTGAAGGAGGCCACAGTTCAACTTAGGAAGGATCTACCTTTGGCTGCAATAACCTATGTAGACATATATTCAGTCAAATACTCTCTTTACAAGGAACCCCAAAAATATGGTAAGCCACTCAACCTTATGATATTCACAAAACGTACTGGCAAAAAGTTGTAACCTTTTCTTTTCCTTACGTACTTAATTTCAAGTGACTTTGTTGGACTTATCAAGTATACATAACACCAGCTGTCACATAATGCGGCTTAAAAAAATATGATCTTTTAAGTATTATTTAAAAGAAAAGCATACATGGAGAAATTCAGTGAACGAAAGTTTTTCAATTGCTTGGAAATGTTTCAGGGTTTGAGCAACCACTTGTTTCTTGTTGTGGCACTGGTGGCCAGTACAACTTTAATAGTAAAACTGTTGAATGTGGAAGAACAGTTACAGTTAATGGAAGACAAATATTTGCTGACTCATGCAAACGTCCTTATGTTAAAGTGAACTGGGATGGGATTCATTTTACTGATGCAGCTGCCAAGATTATTTTCGATAAAATTTCAACTGGAGCATTTTCCGATCCACCCCTTCCTTTGAAGCAAGCATGTCACAGGAGTTTGGAACAACTCATACATTAATCAATAATTGTGTGGTACCTTTGTAACTGCGCAGGTCCCATGATGTTTCTTTCTCTTATTTTTGAGGTCATCAATACTACTTCTCTTGGAACATTACTTTTTGAGAGAAAAGCGATAGTATTTTATTGAATATGGATGAGTAAAATGTACAAAATGGGGTTTTGTGTTCATCCATTTATTTAGAAAATTACTTGTATATATAAAAGTTTGTTTAGCATTGAAGGAATATGGTGTGGAATTTTGGAGTGTTTTGAATGATTGAGCAAAGTTTGTGTCAGAACATTAGCATTCCCGGGCTCTTATTCTGCTACATTTTATCTAATTTGTGAACTTATTACCATTAACTTTGTTCATGCCTTTGGACATTAAACACAAATAGGACGAGCCTATTTTTTTCTCCTTCTTTTTGGGTTTATAATAATGTAATAAACACACTTGTTAGGTTTTTTGGTTAGATATATTTTTAGCTTTCCTTGACAACTTTTTAAGTTGAAAAATATGAGTCCCACATCGGAAACTTGACTATATAAAATATAAAATATAATGAAATGTTCTACTACTAATAATACCAAGGCCTTTTGTGATAAAACTCCACACCTACTGGGCTTTGTAAGTGATTAAGTTGGGGATAATATCAGTGTTGTTAATAGTGAGCCGTTGGCTCGTCTTTCTGAATTTAACATGGAATCAAAGCGGGTTGATTGACTGGGCCTGAATTGGGCCTCTACCCTTTACCCAATATGCAGTTCACATATTAGGCTTGAATGTTTACCCCTACCCTACAGTTTTCACTCTAGATGACTAGACTAGTCATCGTTTAGTTCACGTGTTATTGCCACCTCATGTTCTATAACTAGTTGTTGACTAGTCATGTTGTAGCTTGGTTTGTTTGATTGTTATTCCCTTAGATCTATCTAGTTGGTTTAAAGTTTTTACCCCTTTCACACTTTCACTTGTAACAGCCACCGTGACAATTGAGATTACTCGATTATAGTCATTAAGAGTTCTCTCTATAAAAATATAGACAACAATGATCAATTGAATGCACACAAATGGACCAAATTCAAAATCAATCTGAACATTTTTTCTTTTATGTAGGAGTTATTCTAACTCTCAACATGAGTGTGAAGGTGAAAGTTTTATTTCCGGAAGAAAGTCTTCACAGATGGAGTAATTCTTGTGTAGAAAACTACCGCATACGACTAACTCTTACCATGTGGCCCATTGTGAGGAGTTATTGTATAAGGCAGGGCACATAGACATTATTTACATTTGAAACCCACAGCTCCAACCTAGGCATAAATGCTGAAATTAATGTCAGCTAGCTAGATATTTCAAGATGTGGTTGAAAATGTAAGCACCTTGCCTTTCTACAAATGCAGTAAAAAATTCCACCTCTCTTGCACTATACAACAAACATAATCTCGGATTTTATTAGTAGTTCTCTTCTGCAACATATCTCTGCTACTTGATTTCTCCACCATGGACTCTCCTAGAATTACTATTAAACCTCTATTTTGCCCTTATATGCTTCTGTCACTGATTACCACTTTGAGCCTTGCCTTGGCTTTGGAAAACTGTGAGTTTCCAGCCATCTTTAACTTCGGAGATTCAAACTCAGATACTGGTGACTGCATCCCTGTTCCTACCAGCACCACCTTATAGGGAGACCTATTTTCATATGCCGGCTGGAAGATTCTCAGATGGCAGGCTCATAATTGATTTTCTTGGTATGCATTTTTGGTTTTTTGTTTTTTTAGGAAAAGGTAAATGATAAGTTTTTTTCCTTTTCAACATGCATTTCGTTGTTATGCGGTTTTCTTTTCTTTTTCAACAAGCATTTTTCCAAAATTCTTGTCTAATAAAACTTGTTGTTCAGCAAAGAGTCTTGGTCACCCCTTTCTAAGCGCATATCTGGATTCCCTTGGGACCAACTTCTCGTATGGTGCAAATTTTGCCACTACAGCTTCCACCGTCAGATTGGCAAATCAAATTTTTCCGGCTGGTGGATTTAGTCCCTTCTACCTCAATATTCAGTACATGCAGTTCTTGCAACTAAAATCCAGATCACAACTGCTTAGGCATCGATCGAGGTAAAAATCTAATTTATTAATTAGGCTTTTTATCACAAATAGTTCTTAAGGTTTACGAAATTGTCAAAAATCATCATATTGGATTTTTGTGACATTAATAGTCCTTAACATTACCCTTTGGACATCAAAATCGTCCACACTCGCGGAACTAGGTAAAGGGCAACCATGGGCTCTAGCATACTGGTGGATACTAACCGATTGAAATAAAAATATATATGTATTTTAATATTATTTCATCCTATAAAAGTTTAGTAGCTCATCCAAATGTAGCCTAGTAATTTATTGTCCACTCAACTTTGTAGGCCTATAATCATATTAAGAAATATAATCTCTCAATAAACAGTCATGATTTTAACTCTCTACCTTATACTATTTTACCCCAATGTGTACTTTTATTTCTAGAAAAATTATAGAAACAACAGTTCCGATCTCTTGGACTATAAGGGTCCAAGAGATTTGTGGTCACTCACTGTTAAATGTAAATTCAACAGTTCACTCACTCTTGCACTCCTTTTAAGAAACTTTTTTGAACCGTTGGATGAGTGACCACAATCTCTTGGACCCCTGTTGTCCAAGAGATCGGGACTGATAGAAACAATAATAAAAAAAAGGTAATTAGATTTTAGCCCACCCATTGAAAATAAATGGAGCTCACATGTCCAATGAGATCATGACACGTGGATTAGAAAATAAAATAAAATAGATAATCCATTTTAAAAAACTTAAAAAAGAAAAAGAAAATTAAAAACAAAGGGAAATGGAGAGCAGAGGGGGGAAGGGATAGAGGAGAATAAGGAAAGGGAGAAGGTGGGTCGCGGGTGGGGCGTCGGTTGCAAGTGGGGATGGGGGGTGGCCGGGTCGTGGGAGATAAAAAAAACAAACGAGTTACCAAAAAAAAAAGATAAAAA